TGGAGTAATTTTGAAGACGTTCTCAAGGGAGAAGTTTTGAAGTAATGGATTATCAAGGAATCATAGCGCATATATGCGTCATGTGTAAATCGGTAAAAAAAAAAATAGACACTGATCAGATTTTTTTTCCGGCGACATTGATTTTGCTGGTGGGGAGTGGGGAAATTTGCTAAAAAATAGAAAAGTATCATGTACTCGAATTGTAGCCATCTCGTAATTCCGACTCTATTCACTAATTTTTTGTAATTATGTAATACGCAATCAGTTTTGCACAAATGCTTTCGTTGCTTTGCAATGAAGTTGTCTGGCTATCGCATGATTTATATACGAATGGGAGGAGGTACACGATTTATTTCAGTCCAACCTCCCCTGTGATGAAAGAGTTTGTCTATTATAATTAAATGGGTGGTATGTTTCAATCATAGGCATTTTGTACAAATTATCATTATTAATCATGCAATTGTTAATTTAGCTGCTAGCACGGAATGTCATGATGTCTTTCGACGAAGCAAGAACGGAAAAGAGACCATCATGCCTTTCATATGCTTAAACTAATTAATCATTAATCAGAATGCTTTTGCAAGATAAATAATTACGATAAATCATCCAATGATGACAATGACACTGTACATGTAGGAAAACAAATTAATTGAACTTTTCATTCATAGCTTTCAGTTGTGCCTTTAAATTATTTTACATTTGAGGCATGCTGCAACAAAGTGAACATTCTGTTATGTGACATGAATGAGAGGTTGATGCGGCTGGGAAATTGAAGAATGTGACTAATGTTAAAGTTGGCTGAGATGAATATGAAGTCATAATAACTAGGCTGTAACAATACCGTTCGGATCTTTTTAAGAGAATCGTCCAGAAATACATGTTTATTATTGGTCATAAATCAATTAACCTATATGACGGTGAAAGCGGATAATTCTATGATATACAACGAATTTCGGTGTAATAGTATAATTTTATTATGGCGTCATTTTTGTGTCATTGCCGTGGACAAGTTCCAAAAATGAAATTTTATGGGTACACTTTTTCTGAATTTAGCTTTGTGTATAGACCGTCAGAATTTAATTCTTATTATCTCTGCAAACTCTTGGTGAAAGTATAAGTTTCTCCCCTATGTCGCATGCCATATCTGTTGTGCAGAAGAGACATCCAGAACAGACACAACGATTTAATCATACCAAAGTGTCACGGATAAAGTATCTGTACAGAGATGATGACTTTTTGGTTGTAGATAAACCGTACGTGGATAAGGGATCGTCCAGTAAAGCAAGCTGTATGTAGAGAAATCATCCAACATTAACGCTGGTTATTTACAGATATGACATGCGAATCGATGGAGACGATAGCCAAAACCCGACAGGTAAAGATCTCAGCTTTGTAAAAGAATGGTTAGATCTTTACTTAATGTTTACGATAATCAATGCAGTCGCATCTGTTCTTTATCAATACGATGAAACACTGCCCACCATTCTACGCAACGTACATCAGTTAGACCATGCAACATCCGGATGTTATTGCTTGGCGTTGAATAAAAAAGCTGCTAGTATAGCGAGTACAGCGTTTGCTAGAAGGGAAGTAGAGAAGACATACCTGGCAATCGTAAGAGGATGGACAGAAGACAATAGGTAGATGGGAAAAATTTTTTTACGAGAAAGACGACGGCTAGGATGTTCTGCTAATTAACACTCATAATTGATTTAGGTACATAATAGACAAACAGATTGCGTGCGTACCAAATAACAGATATCGCATGTGCATTGGCACGCCAGACAGTCCAGGAAGAGTCTGTATTAAAGTCGAGCTCCGATAGTTATGATAACAATTAGACTGATCTTACGAATCTATATTACAGACGGCTAAGACAGAACTCGTGACGCTACGCCGCGGCTACTTCGATCGAAGTTATTTAGTCTCTCCGTCGTCTCCCCTCAAAGTCACCCTAGTTAGTCTGCATCCCTTTACGGGACGGCGTCATCAACTACGACTTCATTGCCAACATATAGGGCATCCTATTGTAGGTGATTGGCACTACGAAAAGGAAATTATGGACTACACTGACACTTTCAGAATGATGTTACACGCATACAAGTTAGTAATACCACTCGGGCAAGAACGAATGTTGTCTGTTGAATCTGAAAATCCCTTCGAGTCACTCGTGAAGGACGTGGATGATATAGAGATAGGTTCAGAAGTTCCAGCACAGTTCGAAGGAACGGAATGAGAACAAGCTATTCGGGAGCGGATGAAAATACAAAAAACTAATTAAAGATAGAACTGAACGACCCTTTGGCATCTTTCTTTTTTTCGCAAGTGTAAATGTTTCAATTTTATTATTATTGACTTATGACTGCAATATCATGATTCTTATGGTCAGACTAAGTAGAAATCTCTTACATATAATATACATAACCAGGTTTGGAGGGGGTCTAATGACTCTTACCATTTATGCCATTAACTCTGAAAGGTGACAGTATCAATAGTAATGATTCCGTGTGTCCTATTAAGTACAGATAAGGTGGACCTCTAGAGCTGCTTGTATCAATAGTAATGAGAAATGTAGAACCTCAACGAATTATATTACTATTACTTTTTAGTGATTATTTCATCTACAGTTTTACTGGGATAAAAGATATCAACAAACCTCAGAACAAGGTTGTATCATGGGAAATTAAAAAGAGCAGTATAGTAATAGTGAGTTTGGAGCAACTCTTAATGTAGTTGTTATTTCAATATTGGATATTTTAATATAGAGTCTGTCATGAAATGTCAGAAGCCGTTTTGGCGAGGATATAGACATCTAGTTGTTTTATTAACAGATAAACATGCCTAGCAACAGTACAATTTCTAGGTAAAGACCTTTTATCAGTAATATTGTCACAATTATCGTGGAAGTAGAAGAGATGATATACTATTGTTCACTGATTTCTTGCTTTGTGTTGCAGTAATCCATGGCATCTCAAGGCAAGTACCATTCTATCATAAACTCAAATTGAACCATATTACACTTGTCTATTATGGATGATGTCATGTAGACCGTGTGGCAAATTTAATGTAAGAGTTCCCTGATCATGATGTCAGTTAATCTGGTCTGAAACAAGACCCCATTCAACAAGACGTATTGACTGCTCGTTGAAGTGGTTATTAGTCGTATTTAGTCGATTCTATAAGTATGTTTCTATTAGAAAACGCCCCGTTGTTTGTAAACAAACCCCTTCAAGGAAAGAGTGTGGCGCTATCTACAATCCCTTAAGATAATATAAATATAGCTTGCTGTCAAATATTTCTAACAATTAGTTTACGAGCCCAAATATATCGGTGTCGTGTCAATTACCAGAGTATAAACCGACCGAAATTAATCGATTGGGAAAATCACTCTTATGTTTAGAGACGCTTCCATTATCCATGCCCTACTCTGATCAAAAAGTTTTCATTTACAATATTTGTATTTCGTAAACACCTTGGCTTTCAATATACGTTTAATTCTATAGAAGGTGATCCAACTGGTTTCTATAATTACAACTTTTATGCCGTTTCAACTGATTTCATGCATGTTTTCTTTCAGTTCTATTAGCCTTGATCTAAGTAATATCTCATTCGTGAAAATTCATTTGTATTTGTAAGAGATAATAAGAGTACTTTATGCACAAAATTAGCAATACACTAATTAATGGGAAGCTTACCAAACTTAGACATACTCGGTTTCACATTCATCCCTTACTTCCGAATCACGTGCGCGGATACAGTTACTTTTTGATCAACCAATTACATAAATGATAGTTAGCAGTCACTTTTCATTTTCAACTTCTGTCATACATTTTCCCGCAATGCTTACACCCCTTCTGTACATTTCCATCATCGAACTAAATACTCATTGAATAGTAAAAAATGTCACTTTTATTAAGACTGTTTCAGAGTGAATTTTTTAATAGTTGGATCGCAATATCATATCTGTTCAAGTATCCTGATTCGGTTGGCATCCAACATTATCTATGCAACGAATTGAAGAAGTTTCCTACGTCTGAAATTGAGTTTTTCTTGCCTCAATTATGGTAATTATTTTGAATCGATTGACTTGCAATGTGTCTACATATAGGAAAGCATTGTTCAACGCCCCATTGACTTATAATTTCATTAACGCGGCTATTTGCTCGTGCATTTATGAAGCCATTTACTTATTACTCGCACAGCTGAATCAGTTGCATTAGAATGCTTTATTCTTGAGCAATGCGAGAAGTCGGCGCACATGGCTGTATTGGTAGAGTGCAATTAATTGCAGATCGTACATAACGGCGATGTTAATAACCAACTGAGACATAATATCTGTTTATTTTGATAGACGTTGTGGTGTCTGCAAGCTTATAGATCAGACCTTTCCTCTAATCCCAACTCACCAGCATTTGAAGTATGTAAGCGAGTGTTGAATAAGTGTCAAGCTATTGTCTTTGGGGAAGATCAAAATTTATGCGACGACAAAGTCTCCCTTGGATCCCCAACTGACAGATCACCGCGTAGAGTACGAGAGAACACTTACCCAGCATTAGTAGGAATCGGTGCTATATTAGCTGGTATTGGAGCACCACTGTTAACAAGGAGTTCAGCTCAGATAGCTATTGCACAGGGCAGAAGACCGAGATCATATCAAACTGGGGTTGGAAGTGGTTTAGTAAGAAGAAGAACTCATGTTGGAACCATGAGAACACCTAAACAATCTGAATTTCCGAAAGAGCTTAAAGACGATTTAGCCTCAGATGAAAAGAATAAGTCACGAATCAGAGAAAGTCGTAATGAACAGTCATCTACGCTTACGAGCACTGTTTCAAGGGAGAGCGAAAAAACTGTATCAGAACCGGATGCTACAACTGTTGTAAGGGATGGTTCACCCGAGACACACTCTAACAACGAGCTACCTGAAATTGTTACCGAATCAATAACATTATCTGATGATCCTACTCCTCAGCCTTCGACGACAGACACAACGTCTGGACAATCATTCCGTAAAAAGAAATTTTATATACGTGATTTATCTAAGAATTCTCTTACTTCGTCATCCCCTAATCTCCTTAACGGAGTGGGCGAGAATCAATTCAAGTCTCCTTCTATGACTGATCTTCGTGAAAGCAATCCTCTTTTTAAGCGGAATTATCTGGCTAGTTCGTCTAAGCAACGTCCCCAGTCAGCTATGTATTCACACGAGTCTACTGACGATGAAAATGGCCATGAGACTAAATTATATCGACAACCACCGGAAACGTCAGATAATTCTTATTTTGATGATCTTGATTATGATGTCGACAGGAAGAGACGATTATTAAAGGGAAATTACTTTCATTCTGAGATACAATTTTTAATCGCTCTACAGGATATTTCCACCCGGTTGATTATAGTTCCGAGGGAAGCAAGGCAGAGTACTTTAAGGGCAGAGCTAACCTTATTGAATCATAATCTACCTGCCGAGATATGTATCCCTTTATGGTGTCCAGCGACTACAGAGTCACCGCAACATCATCGAGTTGTCAGAATATCTCCAAGTGATGCTGTCGTATTGAATTCAGCTGATAGGGTATTTTTTGTTTCGATTGTTTTATGCATTAGAGAGCGCTAACATACATACATACATTTGAGTGTGGCTTGTAATGAAGAACTGTCTGTATGGTGTATGTTTTGCGTATTTATACATCTCTCTCATTTCATATAGCGTCTTTTGACTCATTTATTACTTTAAGGTTCCATATTTAGTCATGGTTGAAGTACTAGAAGAAGACATGGGCTTTAATTTATCTGAAACCCAATCGAAGAAAGCACATCACCGACGGTCTAAAGACAACAAACGACAAAGCCGTTCGGTCGACAACGGATCAACTGACCAACCACCGACCCAAGACTCTCTACCCAAGCTTGACAAGCTTGACAGTCAGTCAGCGACACCCGTTTCCCATTCACTTGAATCAATGTCGTCCACTCTAGCTGACACTACATCTATGACTTCGACTTCTCGATCCTCCTCTCCAAGTCAACTAGGACAGAACCGAGTCGTATCGTCTTCACTGTCGTCCAAACGCTCAGCGTCAGTAGAAAAACTTACTCGAATATCTACTGCATCCTCGTACTCTGACTCACCGCCATCGCATACCGTATTATCGATTCCCGAAACATCCTCACCGTCTTCCGAACTTTCCCCTTCTCCATCTGCCCCACTAACGCCTGGATCAGCATATCCACAAGAAATATTAAGCAGACGACACTCAAGAGTAGCAGACGAATACGCTGAACGCATGCGCACGGCTGCTGTCATGTTGGCACAATTAAGCGCCGCTCAGCAAGGGAGGAGTAATTCAACAGGTCCTGGAACTGCCAGTGTAGTACAACGATCGAAGGCTGACACGGAGGCTATTAAGCAGAACATAGTAAAGCAAATGCAGTTGTTGGAGGAGCAGAGAATGAAGAAAATGACTACTATGGGCGTTAATGTTGGTATGGCTTGGGGTGAGATACTAGAGGATGAGAAAAAGATATTGAGTAGCATAAACCAGGAAGATCCAAGTGGTATGTAGTGACGATAACGTTGTTTGTTTCATGGCGGTTGACTTTTTTCACCCTCATTATTTATAAAACACGTCCGCTAGCTGCTGTATTTAGGGAAAATTGGAAAACCAAGAAAGAAAGAATACGCAAATCATCTCCATACGGCCATCATCCTAACTGGCGCTTATTGTCTCTCATCGTTAAAACTGGAGCCGATTTACGACAGGAACAATTAGCTTGTCAATTAATCAAAGAGATGCAGAGGATATGGAGAGAAGAGAATGTGAATGTGTGGGTGAAATAGTAAGTGTAAAATTTACTTGATGTTGAATGTGCGCCATGCGATGATACTAATTATAGTTATTATTAATCCAGTTACCGCGTGCTAGTTACGTCAGACAATTCAGGGTTGATCGAGACTATTCAGAATTCAATTTCAATCCACTCGATTAAGAAAGACGCATATGCTAAACGCTTGAATGAGAAAGGGTTTATGTTTACCTTATTCGACTATTTTGTAAAGGTTGGTTGATTTGTGAAATGGCTGTACCTGGGTGAAACGTTATATTTATTTTAATTTCTGATCTAGACGTATGGAGACGTCACATCGGTTGCGTTCCTGGAAGCCCAAGATAATTTTATGAGAAGTTTGGCTGCATATTCGCTAGTTTGTTATATATTACAGGTTAAAGATAGGTAAGCAATTATGTGTCGTTTATGGGTAACCCGATGCGGTTTGAATTTTGGATAAATTTTCTTTTTACATTTACTTGGTATAATAGACATAATGGAAATCTTTTATTGGATACTGACGGACATTTAATACGTAAGAAAAAAGCTAAGCAGGGTGTCTCATTTACACCAACGATACGATTTATTTTACTCACAATCATCTCACATAACTAGATATCGATTTTGGTTTTATGTTGTCCAACTCACCTGGTTCGGTTGGATTCGAACTAGCTCCCTTTAAACTTTCTCAAGAATACCTTGATATTCTTGGGGGAGTTGCAAGTGAGAAATTTGGTGAATTTAAGAGTTTGGTGAAACAGGCGTTCATTGCTGTGAGAAAACATGCCGACAATATTATATTGCTTGTTGAGATGATGCAAAAAGGTAAATGAGATAAATATCTACAGTCGAAATTATCCTTAGCATCACCAAGCAACGTCTTCATTGCTAATTAAATGCTTAATCATTTCAGATTCTAAACTTCCCTGTTTTGCTTCCGGAGAAGGAACGGCAGCTCAACTTCGAGATAGATTCCAGTTGACTCTTACCGAGCCCCAGTTTGAGGAATTTTTAGAACGGCTCATAATGTCATCGTGCTGCAATATGTTCACTCGTCTCTATGATACTTTTCAATATTATTCCAATGGTATATTATAGATGCTGTAATTGACTTGGATGAAAATATTCGATACGGTTGATCCGCGATTACTTTGGCGGTAAATAGATGTTTTTTCTTTTTGAGATACCTAATACTATTTATAGTTAGTAAGCCATACTTCTTAATGTCCGTGACATTTTAATACTTAAGATGAAATACAATTCGTATTTCAGTGTGCACTCTCTTGATAAATACACATAGAATTTGTTGAATTGCATGATAAACGCGAACGATTTGATCTTTTATATCTGCCTTTTTGAAGCACGCGCCGTAAAGCGTATAAGGCTTGGATGCAATGGTTTCAATGCCACAGTAATGCAATGTAATGGCGGTTTCTTTCGGTGGATCGTGTATATCGTGTTGTAAAAAATCTAGTATTGTTAAATACATATCAACAATTATTATGTCTTCGCCGTTATTGTCGTGCTTGAGTCGCTGTTGAGGATAACTGATAGAAGTGTTCGAGGTCGAGGTGAGATTCGACTCTGGTTCATTCTATTGTGATCTCCTACCTCTGCTCTAGCATCAGCAACTCGTTCTGCAAAACAGACTTTATCGATTCTGAGATGTTCTTTATCATGACATTACGGAATAGGTGTCCCAAGCACTAGTGCTGATACGTTTAACACAGTCGAGGCAACAAAACTAGCAATTTAAAAGAATATACTATCATCCAAACAAAATATTATTTATCCATTGGCGTTACCAAGATGCATTAAACAGAATTAAATCATACAATGGTTAGAGCAAACAAATCAAACAAGCTTTTGGAAAAATAAACATCTTTTCAACATTAGATTCGTTAGTAGTCTTTTTTATTACTTATCTTCTTATTATTACAACTCAGTTACTCAGTAATCCAATGTTTTTCGAATCCTTTTAACCTTGAATATAGAATCGTTTTGCGTTGTTATAAGACGTGCTCGTATAATTTAAAATTAGTCAAAATCGAATTTAATATAGCTGATGATATTTTTAACCCGAATACCATCCGAAAATTTGTTGTATATTACATTTAAAAACTCCAATCTTCACCAGTGTCTATGATTTAGCTATCTTTATCTGAAATGTGCCTAATAATAGTATAATGTCAAATTATTCGTCAGATTAAGCTGATCAACAAGATATACGGTCTACGTTACCAACGAATTACTTACATTGGGGCAGATTCGAGGTTTCAGCTATTACAACACTAACAACACCCAGATTGGCAAGCGCTCCTCGTATCAGTCCACATGGAAACCATAGATACTATCAACAAAGATCGTGGCGCAAACAGTAATGTTAGAGATTGGAAGCACTTCGGAGCACTCGCTAATGCCATAATTCATTGTCAGTAGATAGCGCGTATCTGTTTCACTTACCGGAGCTGCCTTTCTTGCTGCATCGCCCGTACCTCCCTCGGTTGACATTCTTATAAACCATCTGAAATTATTGTCTTGCAAAACATACACACCCTAGACACAATAATAGAGAACAGTATGAGAGAATTGACAAATCAAACGGGAAAAAGCATCATAACATAATGCAGCAGATTAAGACATACTCTATGATTTGTCTTTAAATTGTCAATTTGCTTCTTAAAGACAATCGTCCACAACTCTTTACAGATAAACTTGACCACATCCAATGTATCTACAAATCGTTGTCTATCTCGGGTAAATCTATAAAACGACAAAGAGTCATATTCTAGTTAATTACTGCAACACAATGTAACTTGCTGAGAACTTCCTTCATTCTACTGTCATATCTCAAATCTTTTGGTTTACCTCTCAACCAAGCTCTGTCCAACATGATAGCCCAACAGTTCCAATTTATAAAACACTGCTTCTCTATCATTCTCACTGTCGGCCGTAGTGCGAAACATTAAGTCGACCATTTCGGTTATCAAGAATTCGATGCATGCTTCATTTACCAGAGTTGGCCTCGGGCCTGATTGATTATTAGGCGGGGATTCTTCGGCTGAGGCGAGCGAGCTGAAGAATGGAGATATTGCTGAAGAGGCTGTTTGAAGGACGGACATTGTGAAGCTTGTGCAAGGATAAAATGCTACAAGAATGTAGTAGAAGGATTGAAATGCGCGTGCGGGGATATGGCATAGCACAAGTAAGTGACGTCACAAGCGTCAACATTTTAAATATAGATATAAAAGGCCGTTCGATTTTCACCGCTTCCACAATGGCACTCAGAGAAAATGCGAGCAAATCCACAATATACGTTGGTATGAAGCGCGTTTTGCTTAACCTAGCTTTTTTCTCTCTGAAATGTAAGAGTTTGACCTCTTCGCTTTCAAATTCTTTTGACCTCGCATCTACTCCCCCTTCACCATACAGGTGGCCTGGATGATCAAGTAAACGAACAGATACTTCACGCATCCTTTATTCCATTTGGCGACATTGTTGAAATACAAATACCTCCCGATCCTGCGTCACGTAAGATATAGAAGAATTTTTTAATACGTTTTTCGAGAATATCGCGATCTCATTCTATTTCTCCACTTGTATTCGTAGACAATCAACACCGTGGATTTGGTTTTGTGGAATTCGAAGAACCGGCAGATGCACAAGCAGCTATTGACAACATGCACTTGTCGGAATTGTACGGGAAAGTTATAAAAGTTAATTTAGCGAGGCCGATGAAGATGAAGGAGGGAAGCATGCGGGCTGGTGAGAATGAGATTTTTTTTGTTTGTATTTGCGTTTGTATTTGTATTTGCAATTGCAATTTACTTTTATGTGATGATAATTAATGCACAAAATAATCTTCAGTCTGGTCGGACGACGCTTGGCTACAAAAATATGCTCTCAGGTCTATCGACGGTAATGAATCAGTTTCTGATGAAGACTCATCAGAGATTCAACCTTCTGTATCACGCACAGAGACAACAGAAAAAATGGACCTTCAGTAGATCTAACGTCATTATAATTGAGCCATATAATGTTAATATGCCTATTATTAGAATCTAAATGCTTATGATCATTAATATACTAAAGCCGCGGCGGCTGCCGCCGCTATGGGCCTACCTCGGAGCGCGATTACTTGTGCCCCTCTCGATAAAGAGTGCCACTTTAGGAGTCCTAAATTGATTTACTAATGTTAGTACAACGCGTTCAAAGTTGGTTTGGTTTCGTGTAATGGGGAGAATCGACTAATGCTATAAAAATATCATGTATGCGGCGCTACAATCAAATCAAAAGTTTAGACGCCGCGATATATTATCAATTTGTTCACTTTTCCGCAGTTGCATGTTTTTTATTCTCAAAACTTCACAAGATAACAATGGAACAAAATAAACAAGATTATGTGTTTCTACTCGTACGCTTTGACCCACCAGGTATTTAACGTTTAACAATGTCCAGTTCAAGTGCACACATGTAATACGCTAGTCTGAATTGTCACCTGATCTGATGGATTTGGGTAAATTATGGGAGAATTTACCTCAAATTTAATTGAATTTTTAAAATGTCCTCCTCAACAACAACTTCCAACGTTTTACTCATAGATTTACACGTCAAATACATTCAGTCGCTTGATAAAGTATTTTTTCCAAAGCTCGTTTATTTTATGCAAATTTTAAACTAATTGTTCGAGTCCCACTAATATTCACACGTTCACCAGAAAAGAGATACTTTAGAATACTGGATAACTGAACACCTCCGTTTAGCTGGTGTATACTGGGGTCTCACTGCTTTAGATTTGATGAATCATGTCGATGCATTAGATAGAGATGATGTCATAGCTTATGTCAAGTCCTGTCAATGGCCAAATGGTTCGTTGCATCTATAACTTGTATAATATTTGTTCATACTTTTGTTTCACATTTCCCTTCTCACGCCATTACCACTTTATCTCTCTCATGATCATTATGGATGCTCTCCAGGCGGCTTTAGTGGGCACGTCAACCATGATCCGCATCTTTTGTATACTCTTTATGCCGTTCAAATACTCCTAATAGAAGACGCTATAGACGCTGTAGATGTTGACAAGATCGTAGAGTATGTGTCCGATCTCCAGGATAAAGAGACGGGTGCATTTAAAGGAGACGAATGGGGTGAAATCGATACACGATTTTCGTATAGCGCATTATCATGTTTATCTCTCTTAAAGCGATTGGATGCAATAGATGTGCCAAAGGCTGTAGAGTTTATTATGAAATGTAAGAATTTCGATGGAGGGTTCGGGAGCACTCCTGGGGCAGAATCGCATGCCGGACAAAGTGAGTAACATTAGATTGTTTCGAATCAATTGATGAAAATACTTTTCAAGTATAATTGCAAGAACACTATACTAAATATGTATGAACTTTGGTTTTACTGTTCTTCTCAATAGTCTTCTGTTGCGTGGGGGCACTTGCTATAGTGAACTCGTTGCACCTGGTTGATGGTGACCTTTTAGGTTGGTGGTTATGTGAGAGACAGTTGAAGAATGGTGGTTTAAATGGACGCCCTCAAAAACTTGAAGACGTGTGTTATTCGTGGTGGGTTCTATCTGCACTGAGCATACTTGGCAAGTTGCATTGGATTAATAAAGAAAAATTGTTTGAATTTGTATTGAGTGCACAGGTTTGTACCAGTCAGTTGTGATTGACATTTTCTCTGAAGCTGTTTGAAACTGATTTAAAATTGCTGTCCTATAGGACACAGAATCTGGTGGCATAGCAGACCGCCCAGGCGATATGGCTGATGTGTTTCATACCGTATTTGGTGTCGCTGGTTAGTTTGTTTCCTATAACTGCTTGACTATTTTAATTATCTTCGAACTGTATTCATGTTTCTGTTGTAGGTTTATCATTACTTGGATATCCAGGATTAAAACTAGTGGATCCTGTTTATTGCTTACCGAAACACGTAATCCAACGAAGAGGTCTTGCTGAGAGATACAAAGTTTGAACACGTGTGAAAAGTTACTTCTTAAACGACGTGAATGCATTTATACAGTATTTAAAACAAGACAATTAAATTTATTGATCATCGAGCCACGGCTTTAGAGTAATTGATTTGCTTATACAATAACTTACTTTCGTTGGCTGAAACTATTATTGTATTCTTTCAAATTTCTCGACCATACATTGATTAATTCTACGACATTTCTTCTTAACTTAAAAAGGTTATATAGCATCCTTCGTGGAGATTTTTAGTCTGGACAACGAGCAAAAAATAAATCATCTAACAAATTCATTATGCATACTCGTTCATTATTGCTAGCAAACGGGAGAATAGCTCTCAAGTATCTTAGCATAGTCACAGTTATTATTTTAATTTTTAAGTTGGTAAACAAATTCCTTCGATACCTAGCGCATGGCGGACTTTGCCATGTCATAGACCCATTCATCCATACACTATACATTAGAACATATTAAAATATGTCGCGGAAGAAATTTATTACACGTCCATAAACTTTTGCTTCAAGCCGAGAACGAAAGACTTGCTTCGTTTTGCAACATACTAAGAATATTTACACAACATAAGAAAGGCTTTTAGCTAGGGAAATTATCGATTGCTTTGTTCTGTAAAGTAATCTGATCTTTTATTCATAAGAGTTTTTACAGACTCAACTTTACGTGGCTGGTACATGTTATCGAAAATTCTATATCTCCGCCAGCTGATATTAGTTTTTTAATTGAGATAATTTTATTGACTAGAATTTAGACTCTTCTTCACACCCTAAACAATTTCTATAACTGCTTGACTTTCACAGAACCAGTTCAAGGTTACAACGGCATCCAAAAAGAAATATACAATACGCCATTTAAGATCTACACTAAGAGGCTACCCATGAGAACTACAAATGTAAGAGATTGCAAGTCAGAAAAGCTAATTTAGAGACTTGCTTCTAATTTCTCTATTCTTGGGGCTTTAACTGTCTTTTTATTATGTATACTTATGTATTAGAAGTCCAACATATAAAAGCTGTGCTCAGTCATCAAGGCAATCAAGAGAAATCGATGACCTCCATCACCCGCTTAATTTTTTTGCGTAATTTGGGTTCATTTTCTTTATCAGTAGTCTCGGTGAGACTTACGTGGTACTCACTTTTACATGTACATGAAATTCCTTCTGAAGTGTAGAGGAGAAAATACCACTCCATGGCTGTAGTGATTATTCCGTAAAGATGGTTCGTATTCTTCCCCGAAAGCGACCTTTCGTTTCTTTCCATTGGGTTGAAGCATTGCGTAATATGCTGTTGGATGAAACGGTTAGTGGAACAGCTCTTAATATTAATATCAAGCAACATTGAAATAAACTTACCAACCTGAGCAACCCCAATGGCGATTTGATATGGCTTGCCTTCTGTGATACAAATTAATTCCTCGAGCGCTTTGACTGTGTAATCCACACGACCTGTAGATTTCTCTCCAGCAACTTCCAAATGCGGGTTCAGTGAGATTTCCTCACCAGTAATGTTTTTGACAATAGTGATACATGCATGGAGAATATATTCACAACGCATAGCTTCGTTGCTTCCGACAACCGTTCGTTCCCGTATTGTTTATCATGCGTCGTATGTCCTTGATGCAAAGGTTCAAGGCTTCTTCATTATCATCAATTTGGTGAATTTTTTTTTTTCATAAATAACAAAAGTGGAATGTTAGGTATATGTGGGATCAAGTTAGCGCCGGCGAAAATCAAAATCATACTTGGTGTAAATTGAGGTATGTCGGTAATTCGACCAGCTTGAATTCCGTATTTTGCCAACACCTCTTTGAATTAGCAATCACTTTAGGGGAGGTAGAGAGGGGAGGTAATTTACATTCTCCAACATAGGAGGACCATAAATAGTAATTGACAGTAATCGTACTTTGTCTCTATTCTATGACAAGAAATCTTTCCACTTTATTTGGCAAAAGCTTATGAGCACCTACCTGCCAAATCTGTCAGGGGAGGTAAGCTGATGAGAGCACCCAATATTTCTGAAAGTCTTCGAGACGCGTGATTGTAAAGAAAAGCGTGTGTTACACCGCGCAAAATGTCAAAATTTTATTTAGCACGGCTATCATCATTGGATAGTATGTTGCACTAGCGGGTAAATTTTAATCTCCGACTATCGATAAACTAAATACAGTAAACCCTCCATAAATGCAACACCTTGGGACCGAGCGCTGCGTTGCATTTATGGGGGGTTTTGCATTTATAAGGGCTTCCTTATTAGGGAAAATATTTTAACTATTTACGTCTATTAAACAGATTTCCCTTTATTATAATTTCCAGCCAAAGTTACATAAAAAAATTTTGCTATCAATTGTTAACTAAGAATTGTGTAATACTACTTTGTTTCATTATAAATTTACCTGTTTTTCGCGAATAAATTTCTCCAAACTATTAACGGCTTTTAAATAACTGCTGGTTCCCTCACTTTTATATATCTACGTTAAACAATTAAAGCTCTTATTGCTAGTTTCAAAGCTATTGTAAAATGAAACAAACAGTTTCTAGCTCAACCGCTGAAAGAATATTCCCTGTGCACAATTAGAACTACAATAGTAACAACCCTTCTGCTATTTCAAAGCTATTGTAAACAGGATAAAAGTCAAGCACTGAAAAAAGAAAATAGCAATTCTTCACACATAAAACTCGATCTATAACAAATGATGTTGTGCGCGCGAATAGTGATGTTGTTCGTGAAACAAATTTGTGCTACAGCTTATGTTATGTTGATCATTTTTCCGCAACAAATAACATTACTTGAATCACGTGAGTTGCACTTAGAGAAATAAATCTATTAGAACGAGACTCGCAAATATCCGTTACATTGGAGGGGGTTACATTTATTCACCAAGTCCCAAGCTTGGGACCGAGCAAAGTGTTGCATTTAGGGGAGGATTGCACTTATGGGGGTTGCATTTATGGAGGTTTTACTGTAGTAAGAGACAATGAATCTAGGTGATGATAGTGACCATGGTTCCAGTTATACTATAACATTGTGTCCCAGCACGTGTTATAATGAATTTTTAGTATCTTTCTTTGAAATTAGCAAGTCTATAAAATTTGGATGGTGTTGAATTGAAATAAACGAATAGGAAGGAATGAATAAAGAATGTAACAACGCGCTATCACTTTGTTGCAGAATTCAATGGCGGAATCAAAAGGCATGAGCGAACCGCCAGGTGATAGTCATTCTGATATGGAAGTGATTGCTGATCAATGTAATACGAAAAATATATAAATACCTACAAACGCAAAACGGCTAAGGTCGAACTGTTTGCGATACATTCTCAAACTAATTTAATGTCAAACGGCAATCCGACTATTAATCCTCCTCGCTCTATCAATGCACATAGCTCTCTTCCCCAACGAGTGCGTTTGAATGTGGGCGGATATAAGGTCAATAGTTAGAATCACTGTACTGAATGAGATCCTGATTGTTAGTGTGTTACTATCGATAATAACAAACATGACATGTCTTGCGTGCACACGTTTGTGTAGTATGAAACGTATCGGAATACTTTAATAACGTATCCTAACAGCCTGTTGGGAATGTTAGTAGCCGAGGAAGATGAAGATAACGGCGCTCAATATAGTGAATACTTTATCGACCGCGATGGGGTACTGTTCCGTTATATAATACAATTCTATCGAACGAAACGCATATTGTTTCGGGAACGTGATATCACACCCGGTGGTCATACCATTACCGCCGAGGAACTTGAAGCAGAATTTCAGTATTATCGGCTTCCATTCGCCTTGGAGTCTCAATCGCTTTCCGACCAGCACATTTCGACAAGTTCTATCGAGAAAGCCGTCGCTGAAAAGTTGGATCAATTTGTGTTGACATTTAAGAAGGTTCTTGTGGAAGTGTTCTCATCGTTTGAACTGAAAATTAGCATCACTTTCTACAGGAAGAAGTCGCCACCTTATGTCCAAATAGGTATCGGGAGCAAAAGAAAACATATATTTGACGTAGTCAACAAAATGGTGAGCCCATTGAGAGATGTCGGATACAGTTTCCTTGATTCCTACAACCCGATAATCGCAACAGCTATAAGGAACGAAATTCCCAATATAAAGTGGACTATTGAAGATTCGCACCACAATGAGGATGGGGAGGGATATCGTGTTTCTGTTATCTATGAGGGTAGATATGATATGCATAGAATTCGTGATTTATCCAATCTACCAGATAACTTCAATATAAGGTGATCGGATTTAAGATGGCTTATATGTATTCTGAAGGCTGTTGAGAAAATGCCATTTTCGATGTTCTTTGTGTTTGGGTTCCGTGGTGGATATCGGGTAACCATGGGTCGATGTTCAAGAATTGAGAAAAAATTCTTGGTGAACGTTTTCTCAAGGACATTTTAGTGCCTCGATGTATAAGAACAATTCATCAAATAAACATTTGTTTGTCTTGAGAATTAGAAGATAGACGATCTATGTATACCATGAACAAGATCTATATCAGTCATTGTATCTAATATTGTGAAAGTTTGTCGAAGGCATTGGACTCTAGCAAGATTCGTACCGTTGAAATTAAAATACGTACATGAGTGTGTACTCGATAAGTAGCGGGGTGAAAATACACAAGAGCAATAATGATAGTTTCACGTCCGATCCGTTGTATTCGAGATTACGTTATTTCGGACAATTAGTTTGAGCAATCATGGGGTTGAGAAAATCATAATACTACTATTTCTGCCTTCGCATATTACAACTGACTGTTCTGCAATCAAAGTAACTAAAGAAAAGAAAAAAACTTCTTTAAAAAAAATAATGGAATACAAAGTTCAAACATAACATCATCTCAAACTACTAAATCGATTATTCGTTCTCACTAGACTCTCTAACTAACGGTATAGCCTCAATAGCATTCTTGCGGGCTTTTGCGATAACGTCGGTCTCTTGTCTTTGTTTGGCTACAAGTGTGACAACGATGGAAAACCCAACAATGCCGGTTAACCAGAAGCGGAGCAGAGGATACCAGCTCGGCACTGTAAAAGACGACATAGGAGCCAAAGAGAATGTATAATTGTTGTAGTTTAGCAAGGCTAGTTACATATTACGATCTTACACCTCGGCATGCTGCGAAAAATGAGAAATAATAAATACTCGGAACAAATATACCTAACCCACGGGACGCAGAGACAACGTCTGCATACAGTAGTGAGGTAAAACCAAGCAGGTGCGTAGTAAGCGCTATTTCTGTTGGGAACAACATTGTTGGCCACGCTAATATTGCCGGTACCACGCTTAGCGTATATCTTTTATATCCCATTTCACCTAATAATATTAGAAGGAACAAATTAAGAAGATCAGAGTTAACTCGATCACCTCCAAATATCGTAAGCACATCATTCCACTCTCCTTTTTAACTTACCACCATACTTGGCCATTTCCAGACCCCAATGCACAGCTCCCATAAATGATAAAACACACGCGCCATATCCAATCTGAACAGGCTCGATGACAGCCTGCATCTCTGGCGATGAGGCATAGAGTACCGATGCTGTGCTAGTTGCGATGTATGGAAGAGTGCCTGTGTCGAATGGAAAACAAAGTAATACCTTTTTCGCGTGAATTTGAACTATCGACGCGTGTAGGTGTAGAGTAAAAGCGGACAAGATACGATTTTTAGCCAAGAAACCTAATAGACTAACCGGCAAAGCCGAATATTGCAGCAGGGGGTGGAACTTCCTTGAACGTTCTTGCAAAAGTTTTCTAGATAGAGTCACGAACGGTTGATTAGAAGAATTCGAAAGTATTTAATAGATTTTGTTAGGAAAATACGACGTACAGCGTCGCTGATAACCCCATCCTTGTGTCGAGGCAGCTCTGCTTTCTCTTGTCTTTGTGAAGACAATGACGTTTTCTGCGTTTCGGATAGTCGTCAATGAGATTAAATAGATGATAATTTTGTATACGTTCAGTCTAGTAATTTTACCAGTCCGTTGGATTGTATGCCAGTTGAAGGTCGTGAATATAATTGGTGATCCAGTAAAATGTTCGGTTTGAAGAATGCCCATTGTCTGTTAACATCTGTAAATCAGCGTCAATTTTTTACAGCTCGAGTTGAAAATCTAAAGCATTTCGCATCACAAACTTACTTCGAGTCACGTGGACTCTCAGTCCCTTGCGGATTGCGGGTTGATCGTCAAGTTCTGAGGATATTAAATCAGACAACACGAAAGAATAGATAGTCAACTAAAGCGTACCTGATGAAGACTCTTAATAATCATATTAGAGTGACAAATGCTCAATGACCAAAAAATGGTTCTGGACACCAGACGTACTTCGTTGATATGGCTGATCTGCACCCAGATGATTTGGGATTAGTGTTTTTAGACATCTATTTACAGTGTCGTAGTGCTAGTCAAATAAGACCAAAATCCAACTGGGGGCGAATACGACACAAATTGATGGCTTCAGAGCAGAGCGAACTAGATCGTATAACCCGCCTTATTGGAAGATATCTGTTAACTGGTTGGGTAACTATGAAGGTTTAAATATTTTCGTTCAGAAAAACAAATGCAGTTTCGGTATCATTCTCACCACTGAGATATTATACATATACGATGTTAGACATTGTCCGATGAAGCCTGCCCAAACAAAGGATGTGATGTAAGTATATATAACCATGCCCGCCCTCCTCTTTTTTTGCGAGCTTACTATAAATTCTCAAAATAGGTTCCTCTCCTACGCTCCAAAGACAACTCTATATGGCTCTGCGCTCGCTGCGATGACAGCAATTCAAAGCCAAAGTCGACGACAAAGATGGAACCTGTTGAGACTTACGAAAGCTTTGCTCCACCTGTAGAGTCTATCGATATGGAGCAGGATACACCCGAAGAAGTTGAAGAGCGACAACTGCGACGTAAGCAATCCCAGCTTGCAGCACAGTCAATTGGAGAACGAATGTTACAGGGATGGACTTTGCTTGATGAGATATGTCCTAACGAGACATGCTATGGGGCAAGTGTCGATGGTTGTTGGTGGTCTTGGGCGTGCTGATTTCAATAATCCGTTGACAATAACTTCTGCCTGTTGGTTGACATAGGTTCCACTAGTTCGTTCGCGCTACAAAAAGAAATATTGTGTGATATGTCAGAAATGCTACATGGACGAACCTGGCTTGGACTCTGATGATAAAGTGGATTCTGAATCTGACGTTCTTCGTGAAGCCAGTATGGTGAATCGCGGTGCAAAGGAAGTACATCGTATTAACGAAAACGATGCAGAGGTAAATAACTAATGTTTCAAATATTGCATATGGTTCTCGTGCGAGTGGAAATTCGGGACATGAACTCATTTGCTTACAGTAGCATTAGTATTGGCAAGAACATCCAATGTCATTTTCATCTTTGTTTGTTTCTTTCTTGTATAGCTCAATCCGTCCAAGCGTCAGCGCACAATATCTAACAATTTATGTTTATCGAAACCTTCTTTGTTGTAAAATCGCCAACATATTTTATGTTTCGTGAAAATGCAACCTTTAATTTTTGGTACAGTTTATTCTAAAAGATTTCGCGAACATAAGAGAAGATATAAAGTCAAGCGGAGTGGAGACGAGGACTATCGTTACATTAAAAGCAAAAATGGAGGAACTAAGGGAACAGTTGGAGAATGAGCATGATATTGGGAATATAAATGAGCTCTGCCAAAGTCTCCAGAGTTGTGTTACGGCATTGGTGACAATTGAAGAGTTGATTTTCAAAAGACATCTGGCTGTAGGGAAGACGCGAAAATAGTAAATGTAGTCGGATTATATTAGTCATCGGTGTAGCCCATTAAAAAATCAATGTGTTGTTAGCGAATAATATGAAAAATCGTCAAACGGTTGCTAGTATGAAGTCGCAGTCTAATTCACAAAGTTTGCTATCGTACTTGTTTTTTGGATAATTGATTGTTGTCTTTTTATAACCAAAAAAACTTTTCCAAATTGCTAATTGTGGATTACAATCAAGTAATGCCTATGTTAATTGGATAGACTATTAATGAGCATTTTATTCTGTAATTGTACTGTACATGCAGGAAAGAAGCATGTGTCCTTCCGCTTACAGTAAGCGATTCTAATAACCAGTAATAATTGAAGAGTGCGGTTGTTTCTCTTCAAACATTACCATCTTAGTAGTAGCATTGTTGTAATAAAACGTTCCGATGAGTGGTTGTACAAACGATGATGGTAACAATAAATAATAATAAGCTAATTAATTGTGGTCAGGTTTTAGTAATCTGATCAAATCGCAATCTCGACAAAAACATTCCTCTTGTATTCCCAATTTGGGAAGATCTTGACTTTTATATTTATTATTACCTGTCCCAAAATTAATTTTATTTGGACTACATTACCTCATAGTGAGGCGCTGAATATATAAATTTTACATGTATAAAAATAGCGTCAGAAAAGCTCCCAGATATACACTTTTGACAACATGTTGACTCTTACCTCCAAAAATACTGCGATTTATTTTTGCGTCTTACTCATACTCGCCCTATTTCTGACTTCAACCACGACTGGTTCGTATCTTGATGAGTTGTCTGATTACTACTGTTCGCTCTAACTTAAATGTACATATCTTTAGCGGTCCCTCAATATTGTACTGATAATAATAAGAAAATTAAGGGCGCAGCGTGTGCGAGAAACTCACGTAAGTACACACGCTACCCCTATGGTAGCGATACTGCAGACAAATTATTTCTCGAATCTGCTTTAATACTATTATTATAGACCTGTTTGAGAACGGAGAGTTATGATTTGAACCGTTTATATATATTTTTTAATCTGCTATAAATCTTGTTTTTTTCAGCGAAGAACTGTCTCCAATGTTTTACATATCCAAGATGCAATTGTGGACATGGTGTAAAGTGCACCATAACTGAGCCGACCTGCTATGATTGCGGAACGGCTACTTGTGGCGAAGGCGGTCCGCCCGATACAGTTGTCCGGCTCGGAAAGTAGTGAAAGTATTACTATTACTATTACCCAAACAGCATAATAATATAAAATAATACATTTATAAATTATTCTTTAGTTGCTCGTAGAGGAAAGGCAGTATATTTGTTGAAAGTGTGTTCTTAAAATATTGCTTATAGAATTATAGCATATTTGAGAACTACATTAGTAGCAAACCAAATGTGTAATAGTAATAAACATCTTGGACTCTGAACCAACAAATTTGAACATGCCATCAAATTATTAACTATTTCCATTGTTTAATTCCTGGCTTGGCAATTTTTTTCCTACATCCACTCTTCATCTTGCTTACATTATATGGGAGTCAGAATTGTTAGTGTCATATATATTTGTCAAAACTAGGATTGAGAGAAACAATTTCATTAATAGTGTTATTTATTTTTAAATTTGAATTGAATGATGGTAAAATTATCATGAAGAATATGTGGAGCAAAAAATACAGGTAATTTGTTCGTCATATCAGTATTGGCATTTTATTTTGTCGTCATAATTAAACGACCGTTTGTTCAAAGCATAAATAGTAGTCTATTGCTTCAACGATTTTTGTAAAAAAAGAAAAGCCATAATTATAGTGGCATTGTTAGAATTATAAGTTTAGCTAAAGTGTTGTACAATTTACGAAAATATTACGCTCTCGTAAAGTTTTGACTTTTTTGCGTGATGTCGTTTAACATGTAATAAATTTGACATATAGTGTATATTATATATATACAAAATAAATGGACTCACATTATCCGATCGTTTGAATTTGTGTAAGAGTAACAATTGATATTAATACATGAGTATGCTCGAATAATTTAATAAACAGGTATCTCCTTCGAGCCGATCATCACTATCACAAGAGTCCACCGAGCATGGCCTATGATAAAATCGGGAATTGATTAATGTACTTAGTACTGCATAAATTCACCCCCATTTCTTTTTTCTGGAGGATATCATCAAGCCAATAAGTTTCGTTTCTATTCAAAGTTTTCTGCGCGTTTTAGCATCAGAGAGGTCTAATATGCCATTGAGACGTATTGATGATGTGCCGACTATAACAGGAGAGCGGAGAATAATCGGTACTAGGAATTTAGCTATCTTCGACGGAGCGTGGCTTCTCCTATCAAGTTGTACCTTCAAACACTAAGGCTTTTACAATATACAGTGACGATGAGTGATACTAATCCAATTGTCCTCGAGTAAATCTCTCGGTTACTATCGTGGGATTAATTCGATAGCCTCCCGCTGGGGTACACTAGAGTTCTTAATTAGAAAATAAACGCGTTTCTACTAAAGCAACTAATTGTAATAAAGTTGCCACTCGGATAAAGAGGCGATTATCCTTCGTCGATATAGGGATTAGCGATTTCTCGGCTATACCGATAAATGCGATACTCGTTTATTATAACAATGATGATATGAAATAAAGGAATCAAGCACTATGCGAAACAAGCTGAAATCTATGCTGCTTATATATCTTTTTGAATGGACTAATTGACCTATTTTAGCTGCGCTTACAAATTATCTAAATCTATTGCTATCAGTATACATTAATATAACTGCTGCAACGCTGCTCTAGCTAGCTTGACGATTGTTCGATTGCAGCACACCGCTGTGCGATCGAATTCAGGAGAGAATACGCCACCGTTATCGTCGTAGCATCACAATGACATGATGGTTTTTCGTCTCGTTTTTGTTGGGCAGATAGAATTGCAAGCAATTTTTTGCGAATGTTTAAAGGGTTATTCACAAGTAAGCGCTATCGTTATATACTTTATAACTATAAATCACCTGTGTAAGATGCCTAATTTCTGATTCAATTGCTTCTACATCATTGTCTGAATTATAATCGCTTTCTGAACTATTTTTCTCGGAGTCATAATATTAGTTTTGCAACTTCAAAAAAAATGCTCGAGTAGTATTAATATTAGTGTTAGCTTATTTTTGGTTGTTGGCAACTTTTTTTTTGTTCATACAACAAAAAGAAGGAAATAGAACTTTCAGTGATGGGGTTTCCACATGGAATTTTGCAAACAAGGTGTCCAAAATAGCTTTGAGCCATGTAAATTGCGAACATCATGAATATTAATAATTGAGTAACAATCTTTTTGTTGAATGTGTGTTGAGTAATGAATAGTAAACAGCAAACGGTGAAAGTGAATAGTGAACAGCAATATAAGCGATATAAAAATTGATGCTAAAAAGCATGATATACATTCCTAAAGTGTGTATTCCGAGTTAGTATGTTCAATGAAAGGATGTGCTTATCCCTACTCTTTCAGGTTATCAACCAATTTACTAATAACCGTTACTGCATACTGTAATAGTAGCCTTGCGATTACTATTATCGTAAACTACCTACCTTTATTATCATATAAAGGTTTTTTTTTCTCATTAAGAGTACATAGCCAGAACAACCAACACTTATTCTCACAGTTAATTTAATACTGGTTTTGTGGTATCAATCTGTTTCAACCACATCGATTATCAAGATAACGATATCAATCCTTTGAGATATTAATAGTCTGTTAAGATGTTTAATTTATAATAAACAACGATTATAACAAGGACATTCCTACGACGATTCTAATATCAGCAAGAATGACAATGGTTACGATTAATCTTGAGATATCTAAGACAATTCACCGACAACGGAGATGTAACATCAAAAGAGGGTAGGAACTTGTACGGCTTTCATACATATTAGTAATCGCAAAGCTACTATTACAGTGCGTCTCATATTACATGCCTGCAATGAAATTGATTGATTGAGATTTTGGGGATCTTTGACGGGATTTATATACTAATATTAATATGACAATAACAATACTATCTGAAACCCCCAAATATAACAACCATAATTTCCTAAAATGATCATGACAACAGCCAAACCTTGCCATAAACATAAATAACAATTACTAATTCATTTTATACCCAATCATCAATAACCTTCCCCTAAATAACTCTTGCCCCTCTTAGTATGGGACAAGGCATCTGGAAAAATGAGCAGCTTCAAAAATTTTGATTAGAATTTAATTTTATAATTTAAGAGTCAAAGAGGAATTTGATTCTAGAGCCTCTGCCAAAGCTGTTGCTTCAGTATCTCCAATGTGATTATGATAAAGATCTAAAGAAGTCAGAAAGGAATTTGATTTTAGAGCCTTTGCCAAAGCTGTTGCTCCTGTATCTCCAATTTGATTATACTCAAGATTCAAAGAAGTCAGGGAGGAATTTGATTCTAGAGCCTTTGCCAAAGCTGTTGCTCCTGTAGCTCCAATTTGATTATTCTGGAGATTTAAAGAAGTCAGAGAGGAATTTGATTCTAGAGCCTTTGCCAAAGCTGTTGCTCCTGTATCTCCAATTTGATTATACCAGAGATTCAAAGAAGTCAGAGAGGAATTTGATTCTAGAGCCTTTGCCAAAGCTGTTGCTCCTGTAGCTCCAATTT